TGCTGAGGAACCAGACTATCCGTCTGCTTCTGTTGAGAACTATACCAGACTAAGATGGACATGGTCAGAACTAACATCAGGAGTTGCAAAATAACCTTAAAGACATTTAGAACTAGTCACTCTGAACTTTTGGGAGTTCTCACATGGGCGTCCTCTCCCCCCATGACTTCATTCGTAATAGATGGCCCAAATCATTCTGCAGTGAACGTGCTCGTCACTGTAACTTTACGCCGATATAGGTCAGTCAGCATTATTAGGAACATGACGTTAATGCCCTGATGTTTGGCGGTATATTTATCAAGCAACAGGGTTTCATTACCTGTTCCTAAGTCTTTGGATCGTAGCTTGAGGTATTTTGACGACAGCTCAGGACGAACGTCAGTATCTCCTTTCTGTGGCTGTACAATTTTAGGGACATCGATTCTTAGGAAAACAAGTCGTCTATAATTACAATGTTATGTAACTATAGTAAACTGATAAGTGTAACTCAGTAAACAAAGCTGTTTAGGAGAGTATGTGTCCGGATAGGAGTTATATATGAAGGCTAATAGTAGTGAACTTCCAGTCATCTACAGAGTACCACAGTACATAGCTAAGGGTTCCAGGCTGAAAGTGTTACATCACTATTCTGTATCCTGAGCCTATCCTGACAAAAGTAACCATAATCTTGTTTCCCAGTGTAAGAATACACTGAATAGAAACACTATGCCTGGAAATTTCCATTCGGATAACTACGATTTAGGGTTTCTGAATGTTCGCAGTTGTATCGTAATGTTGCTGTTGAGCGACGATTTCGTTAGGTTGGGTATGGAATTATCGGTGTAAGCTCTCGCCGAGACATTCCTCAATGTATGCGTACAGAGGAAAGATCCTCGCACTCGTCGCTGATGAATCTTGGAAGGAGGGTTCTAATAATATTTTATATGGTATTACCATTAGTCGTCTATTTGAGTGTAGGTTTTAACCAGTTAGACTGTCGAAAAGGTGGTCATATCTTTTAGGGTAACCACAAAATGTACATTGCGAGGAAAAAGATGACGACTTTAAGTGTTTTTTTTATGTTAAGACACAGATAATCGATATTTGAACATCAATATCCATCCGCAACTTTGCGAACTACATGCAACTGGGATGTGGTTGAACTATTAGATGATCGAACATTTTCAATATTTTTCATGTCATTAAGTTTGTTATGCCTCGGTTTCCGTTCTTCAGAATCTATTCAGAGTACTTGTTGAATTATGGTCTACTTCGATATTAGTACTGCTCTAATAAAAGACCTAATCCTAAAACTGTAGGTTTGTCGTGATGTAATTACCTTATCTATAAGATCTAACGTGGAAGTCACATCATGCCACTACATGCTTACAGAAACTTTAAAAGTTCTGTTAGACAGGTATTCACAGCTTTGCCAAAGTTGTTTTAACTAAAGGGCTTCAAAATGGTCTACCTTATATTTCATTGTAAAACTGAGAGCAGGTGAAATGCGCTATATCGTCGTTCCAAACACAAACCTTTCGTCAGGCCACAAAGAAAGATAAGAAATGTAGTGACTACAGAAAATAATGAAGTAAATGATAAGGTCATCAGCTCACTCCTAACTTCATAACTCTGATTTCCACACTAACATCATTTTAGAGTCAACTTCTAAAAAGTTTTGTTTTCATCCACTTAAAAGCATGCTACTAGAGCTATTGTAGGGGGTGCTGCAGCTTTATGGAGCGTTGCTGTACAATGTTTAGCGCTGAACATTAATAGACACAGTGGATAATAAATGCACCCATATTACTCTCAATATACTTGTGTCAGCTACATACATTCACGTTGCTTTATCCTGAGGTCAAAGATTTAAGAAGAGCCTATCATAAAATAAAAGTGAATAAATACACTCAGCCACACTGTAGGGTCATGCTACTATGTTCGTAGAATAGTTGTATGCTAAAATGTACAATCTAATGTCCTTTTTAATACAAACGTTTGGATAGGGATAAAGTATTGATCATCTGTATGGAAGTCAACTGTGTAGACGTATTGGGAACAAACATTCGTAAAAGTAGGACGCCACTGGAAACCAGCACTATAAATTCTCCGGGCGTCGGATTCATCACTTAACTCTGCCAAATATACAGCCTTGGGCCTGCTATGAACTCTATTTTTTACCTTGGTTTGTAACTGTGGATAGAAATGTTGTTGGCTGACTAGTACTAAAAAAGCATATGGACGTTAACAACTTGGAAGACGAGAACCGTAGGCATATGTAGCCACTGTCTTCGTTTATGCTGGAAAAATTAATCCGCAAATTACTGTACGCAATTTTTTCGATTTGGGCAAACTTATTTATGCTTTTATATAACCCAAGTATCTGCACCGAACCTTAATGGTTGGCAATAGTAACAATAGATTTTACGCATAGAAATCTTTTCCTTCTGTATTGTAGACTATTGCACAGAGCAGAGAGCACAAGAAATGTTGAAAAGTAGGTCTTCAAGCGCTTTTTATGCTTGTACACCTAAAATGCCGGAAATCATATTCCAGAATTCTACAGTCTAAGTAGAGCAAGTAAAATTATTCGAGCACTGTAGACTCATTTTTTGGAGTGAGCCTGCTCTGTGTATTATAGTGTGGGGTATATTTCTAAAACTCAACCAGAAACTAAGTTACTGTAGTCATCCATGACAGATCAATCACTAATAACTGATCCATGTTGAAGAATGTAGCTATTGGGCTGCTTCTCAAAGAGTGTTATATATTGTCTAAGTAATTTACTCCGGCTCCGGAAGCACACAGCTCAAGTGAGTTAGAGGGCAGTATTTTGTTCGAAAAGCTTTCACTATTGAGTGGTATTCTCTGGTTTGAAGTCATAGAAACATGAAAAATATATATTTAAATACGTATAGGTAAAACAAGTCATGGACACCCAAAAATGACTGACTTCCTTGGCTTGTATGTACTACAAGCAATTCTTCTGTTAGACAAATTATGAGCAGTAATACAGTGGCAAGCACTACTTTTAGGATTCGTGGAGTTACAGTGGGAGCAAGTCAGTTTTAGTCGTTCGTATCAACGAGTAGTGGTAGTTCTACTAACAGTAATAAATAGCTAACTAACGTGGAAGAATTTTGATTGTTGAATGTGAGACTAATGTGAACATACATTATGTGAATCTTGATCCACTTTCTTTCAAGAGCTTCAGATTCACTTTCAATATCAATAAAATAAAGACTGATCAGTGGACTACCCTACCACGTATTGCAGACTGCTATATCCATTGACTAATGCTCACTGACGAATGAGTTTTTCGAAATAATCGTAGTGCCACTGGGATTTGGAATGGTGCTCTCAACAGTGTGGGATGACGTCTTGTAGTGCCTTAGTATCACCATTATTTAGGGTTCTACGTTCTTTAAATATGTGGAGCAGATATTCTGTGTTGTGTACATCTTTGAAGAGTTCTGGCGCGTGTGTGGTCAGTTTGAGGGTTAAGATATAATATACGGATGATCCGTAATTTTATTTTGAGTCCTCTGAATTATTTTCTTCACGAGGCAAATCAGGTCGCTGTGAATCCCGGTGATAACCATAATTCGGTTGTAAGACTAAGCTAGGGTATCGGACATGTTATTTTGCAAGGAAACAGGGTTGGAGTTTACTTGTGAAAACCCAAGCAAAGAGATTTTTCTGAAGAAGCCTCTATAAAATTTCCTCATGGCTTTTACTATTCGTAAAAGCATTTTAGTTACAAAACCATGTCCTGAATTATATTGTGAAAATTTTTGTTTGATTTTTGTCGATCCACTGGTTCTCCTAGTTTATGGTTAGCTCTTCTAGGATTTCGTCAGATTTTGACAAATCTCTGGTAAACATCACGGATGTAACGCACTCAGTCAACTCTCATGGTAGCTAATTTATTTCCACAAGGAACACTACACATAGTTTAATTGCACTGTACTTGTGAAAGTCGGTCTCTGCACAACAGTACGTGACTTCGATGTTATCAAACCACAACAGGATGAGTTGATGGTAGCCACATTCTGAGTGCTGACTGAAATAAGTTCAGGATTATAGTCAGATTTGAGATTAAATGTATAAATATGGGATAAAGTCGGGTGGTGTTGATTTTCGAAAGGAAGTTCGCGACCAGGATGACAGGCTAGCATTTGAGTATGATATGACTTGATTTCAAATTTGAGTGAGTAATAATGAATTTCACCTAAACTATTCAAGACTCAAATTAGTCTACTTGTGATATTCTGAGAACTATACATGCAGCCTAGATAATTCCACTCTAGAAGTTTTATTAATCAGGAAAAATCTTGATGTCTTGTTACCATGTAATTTAAAATTCCATACTGACGGTGAAAATGATGGCTTTCGAGAAAAGTTTGAGGCCTATCTTAGCCAAGTTTAACCGGAAGCTTTTCAGCTAATTTTTAATAGTTTTATTCGACATTATATAGATTATGAAAGCGGAGTATTTCCAAATTTATTCCAAAAGAATTCGGAAATTACAAGGCATATGCAATAGAAAGCTACAGAATAAGTTCGAAAACGTCAGTTCACAGTTTATGAGGAACGTGAAACTCGTTAGGCGTAATTTCCTTTCATTCCATCTACAACCATTTGAACCATTTGAACCGCTACAGGTTTTTGCAAAGACCCAGCTTGGAAACACGTTCTAGAGCACTAACATCCCGTTTTATATTTCTCTTTTATACCTGTTGAGTCATGCTTCTATATGAATTGGCTGTTCATTTATACCGGAAACTGTATCTCATTCAACAATAGCTTCTATTTTAAAGACAAATAATTGAATTACAAAAATAATTACCAACAAAGTAATATTTGACCAAAAATTAGACTGTTTTCTTTTGAATAAGCATAAACGCTCAAATGGACGACTAATTTGAACGACTACAGTTTGATTTTGTTTAGCCTAATTCTTTACTCCCTACTAAGCGGCCAGTTAACCTGTGACCTCGAAGTCAGCTGGTTGTGTCGATATGCATTATGAACAGTTGCTCTGGGCTGTTAAAAATGGTGACTTGCAATCGATAAAAGAAAACATGAATAATGTACGCGTTTACAGTTGTTTAATTATTACTTAGTTGTCTGGGGTTAATTCTACTTTTAAAAATGGAAGAACTCTAATTCACTATGCTGCTGACTATGGACAGAAAGAAATATGTGATTACCTCATACGAAATGGTGCAGATTTAAATGTATGCTCCGGTTATTTTTTCACTGATTCAAGGTTTGTAGGTTAATGACAGTTTTGGAGTTACACCTTTGCTTGCAGCCATATATGAGGGTCATATAGATTGCGTATCTTTGCTGCTCAACAATGTAACTCCTTATTGGCTTAATAAGTGTAATTTCAGGGCGCAAAGCTGGGGCTAGCTCCAGATGGCTCAACGTACGTCGACTGTGCCGCGTCAGAAGATATAAGGAATATCTTGAGAAACTACATAACTGTATGATACGAGATGCACAGAATCTGCACAATGAGTGCCTGAAATTTTGTGTTTTCGTTCCAAAGACCGTCAATTTATTGGCACGAATAGATTCTCCCCGAGTTTCTTCCAGTGCACGTATTCCAGGCTGCAAAATGATGGTTGCTTAAGAGCTTGCACGATATTTTGTTCTCCACTTCTGCTTTATGTTTACTTAACTTCTAAACATTATTGTCCATAAAACAAGGTATATTTCCTCCCTTTGTACACAACTTATTTTGTGATTTGTATGCTTTATTATGTGTAAATTTTTCTAATAAACATTTTTCCTAAGTTCTTATTCTTTCTTAAAAACTTGGATTTCAGTGTTTGTATGTACTCAGTGTTATATGCCTAAGAGTTGTGTTATGACTTCAGGAAATTAACGTTTATATACCATTGTTTGGGTTTTTTATTGCCAGGCTCAGTCAAAACATATGTATCTAAAGCATATTCTCACCTTTTCCTCAGGCTGTGTTGTATGATCATCTGATGCATAGTGGATGTTTTAGTATGGTTGATAATTTTTTCCTTTCAAAAACAAAAGTGACTTAACCATTTAAGGTGACAATAAAATGCATCGAAGCGTTATCTGATTTAAAGTCTCAGTACAGCGTTGTTGCTTTGGGGCTTCCTCAACATTTAGAACTACATCTCCACTTATCTCTAAAACGTTTGGTTCTATCATGTAATCTCTGAAGAATCATCACCGAAAACAGTAGCTGTAAGTACCAGGCCCATTATATTAGGGAGACGAATGCAATGTTCTGCGTTAGGAATCATGTTCTTTTATATTAACACTAATATTGTACCATATTTACGACTTCGAAAGTAGCTCTAATAATTTCGTTTCGCTGCGCTAATGGGGTATGGAAACTTGAACCGATGTGGATGCTTACCAGGTTATACTTTGCATTTGACTGACTGATATTAGGGGTCCTGAATATTACGAAATGATCATGAAGGCTAAAGCTAGACGGTGTAATAACATGTTTTTCTCAAATAATTTTGCAATATATTTAGTTTTCATTTGACAGAATTAGTTTGAGACGTTGTTCATAGGTTTTTCCGAGAACCTTAGTTTCAGTGATTACTAAGTTTACTTGGTAGATTTCTATATTTGTCAATAATTGTGTAAATATATCATACAGCTGTCATTTATCCCTCTGATTTGTAAGTAGTTTGAAATTATGCGTACTTTATCTATAAAAACTCTAATCAACCCATGCTTATCGTGATATGTGGACTTTACATAAACATACACCTTAGTGGGGTAACGTTTTTCAGTAACCCATATATTAGTTATGATCTACTATCTGAAGTGTGCAATCATGCTAAACTTTCGGTATTAAAAAATTAGCCTTAAAATTTGTATTTCTTAGAGATAGAGTTACTCGAAATAACTATTTAGAGTAAGTATTTACACACAATTAGATCCTCATAATGCCAATATAAGGTAGTTGGTTGTTTAGAGATAATAGTAACGATAGCTATTTACTTTTTCCAATTCATGAAGTTACATATCCTTTTAGATAATTAGAAAATCTTGTTTTTGACCCCAGTTGCTTTTCTTAAGTTTAAGTATTGTCCTTTTTCCTGTTCTTTGTATTAAGTATTTATTTCCATTGTTCACCGGTCAGTGCATTGAAAAATATTTCACTTTCATTGAAACAGATAATATTTTGCTGTTGCTGACAAACAAAAATTAAACCATGTCTACTACTGGTGTTAGGTTCTGTCTCGCAGTCCCAAAGTCGTTAAAACATCCAAAATATTCCGATAATACCTATCAAGTACGTGTTGCTCATAGACTAGCTGAATGTCTTAAAACGTCCATTATGGAAAACCGTCTAATGTCAACTTTTGTTCCTACTGACAGACAGATTAACATTGAGTGTGATGACCAGCCAGTATTTACATCTTGTTGTACAATTGATGAAACACCAACTGATTTGAATAATTGTAGTCATTCTACACACTTTGTTCTGATATATATACCAAAGTTGTGGCTTAAACAATGTGCATCATTACTAAGACCGGATTTATCAATCGATAAACAAGGTTAGTTATCATTTAATGGCATTCAGTAAAGGAATAAATCCATAGTTAAATGTTCTGAAACTTTGTACTTCTTCAGAGCTGTTTTGACAATTTTTGTCTAATATACTGCTTTAAGCCACACAAAAGGGTTAAATAGACCTTTACAAACATTAAACATGTCATTTAATGTATTATGTAGGCGTCTAAAAACCTACATTTATTGATATTCAGATTACTTATCTTAGTTGAGGTATAACCGATAATTTATTTATTTATTTGAACACACAAATATTGGTAAAAAGGGGCATCAGATACATAGTTGATAAATGATTAATGAAATTAAATCCATTTATTTTATTCTACAAATCTTGTTGTGATTAGATTGATTGAATATATGATGATGACCTACCTCAAACTCATGGGCGAACAAAGAAATTATTCGTATCATTGCAGCTAATTTACAGAAGCAACAATTAATGACTCCAAATTTCAATTTTATTTATCTGTGTCAGTTTGAATCGGGTAGTTAATCGCTCGTTCCATAAAATTGAAATCAGCAATCAATGAAATTGGGGTTGCTACCATACATATTTCTAACTTCTATCACCCTTCACCAAATATCTTTTGCTATATTTTGTATTGATAGAGGCTTCTGAATCTATGATCGACACACTTAAGTGATAATTTCCAGGTTTTTAATTAGTCATCTGTGAATCCACAGAAGATATTTTTCGTAGGTTTCTACAGTATGTAGCAATTTCTTTATTCCAGTGGCTTAGATTTTAATAGGATAGGGAGTGACGTAGTTGACGGCGTCGACAAAGTCACTTATCTTGGAAATCTGATCAGCTCCAATGGATTGGTGTTTGAAGAAATCTCTACACAGATTTAAAAAGCTCGTTTGGCTTTCGCCAACTTACGTCACCTGTGGCGAAGGCGAGATATTCGTCTATCAATTAAAAGACGAGTATACTGTGCAGCAGTTCTTTCTGTTATACTTTACGGCTGCAAAACGTGTTCATTAAGGGTAGAAGATGCTCATAAGTTAGTATGTTTTAGAAATATTGCCAACATCTGCTGGGATCACTGGGTAAGTAATCGTGAGGTTTGACACATGATATCAGGGAATGATGGTAAATCAGTTGATGAGGTTGTAAATCTTCATTGATTGAGATAGGTGGGCCACGTGTTACGTATGCCCGACCACCGTTTACCACGGCGCGCAATGCTGACTAGTTTTGGAAATGGTTGGAAGAAAGTTAGAGGCGGCCAAACCAAGATGTGGCATCAGTCTTCTAGCCATGTTGGTAGATGGAGACTACTTGGTTGGGTTCCGCGTGACTATCATAACCAGTGGTTAGACTCTGGGTGAAATGGCTTAGAATCGACCACAATGGCATCGGTGTATACACTCTTTGTCTTCTCTTAAACCACGAGATTAAAATCGCTTTATACCTTTCTTTCTACGAAATAATTCTTTGTTCCTTTATTGTATCCTTATGCACAATCTTTCTTGTATACATTACTACCATTGATGTAACTAATATGAATTTGATGTTCATCTCGTTGTGCTAATGAGATGTGGCAGATTAAACTGATGTATATATGCGCCTGATTGTACTTCGTAGGTGGGATTTTAGTGTGGAGTTCCAGCAAAAAGTGAATGTTTCACGATCATAAGTTCATATTATACAGCTAATGTGTTAACCATTACTTTCAGGAATTATCAATAAGGTTACTCAGTTTGCTAGTTGTTTAATTTTTTATTCCGTTCTTATACGTATTCTGTAACCCGTTGAACAATTGTTTACTATCTCTTCAAGAGTGAATACGTTTAGATGTAGACGATTAGTTGAATAGTTCTGTGGATTTTAGTTACGTCATTGAGGTATTCTACCCGTCTTCATAGGTAAGGTTTATCAAAAGCTTTGATGTTTCAAAAATCACTTATCAAACCCCTAATTCATTTGTAAAGGAGTTTATTATGAGTGGTAAAATATGCCTAAAATATTCCAATCAGTCACTAATAAACAAGACAAAACCTGGTGCATATTTGTATCAGCCGAATTTCCCACGCTTAGTACCAACTCAATAAGAGGAGATGAATAATGTCGAAACAATGTTGCCAACTATATTAGAAAACTAAATAAGGAAAATTTACTTTAAAGGTATGATTGAATTTTAAGAGTGAAACCTATCATTGAAATCATGAACGTATGAAATAATATTGGACTCAAGAATTGCCTCCAATCATAGATTAGCCAAACTTCTATCAAGGTGTTAACACTTTTCGGTACAATTCAGACTAGCAGTTGATGATTTCATTAACTGATCTCATTTCTTGGGGTGGGAGCCTTGGGTTGATTTTCCTGGTTAATTTTTAAAAACTAACTATAGTGTCACCGAATATTTACACAGAAAAGGCTTACTGCCTTAAACAACCAAGTCCTAATTATTTGCACAGTTTCAAGTTTCCAGTTCGCCCATTCCCGTTTACCATTCGAGTTAAGAGAAATTTAATCCGAATCCATATGTGAAGGTATCAGTATGTCAACCATAACATTTTGGTCTTGGCTTTCAGATAGTTTTATAAATTTGTGCACCTGTGGAGATAACCAAAACAAAAATACGTGTTATCATCAAAGCTTTTACGACTACTACTAACTTCTTAAAGAGTTTTTAATTAATTATTAAACTATTTTGGTTACTTTCCTTCTTGTCTTTTTCTGTGTATACCTTGTAGAACTCAATAATTGTGTTCAAAAGTTAACCGATGGGCAAACAGCTTGGCTTGCCGAACTCGCTATTCGTAGTTTAGTTTTGTCTAAGGCACATATTAAAAGTCTTGTATGTGATTTGGGTTTGTCCTTAAATCTGATTGATAATATTGATGAGTATATTTTATCAAATCGTCCAGCTCTATTCATCTTAGAGTTTTTAGGACTAATGTCTAATTTAACTAGAAGTCATGACAAAATGGAAAGACGATCTATATGGACCGATCATTTCTCCACTTTAAATGTATTTCCGAATTCTGAGAAATTACGTCAGTATTTTGGTGATTCAATTGGATTTTATTTTGTTTGGATGAAGTCTTATTGTGTTTATTTAACTTGTCCGTTAATCGCTGGTTTATTTTGTCAAGTGTTCAATTTACTAAATGGTCAATATTTTGAAGATAAGCAAGTATCACTAGGAATTCATTTAGTTTATACTATTTTCATGATATTATGGGCTGTTATCTGTACTAAACTGTGGCAACGTGAGTATATTTCTTGTGTCGATCGATGGTCTGGCAATGCCTTAATTGAATTAGCAGCAAATGACTTAACTTGGCTGTTTAACTTTACTGATCAGAGACCAACTTTTCACGGCACTTGGAGACAAAGTCGCGTTACTGGCTTGATGGAATTGCACTATCCTGCAGCTAAACGTCGATTACGTTATGTGGCATCCGGTTTCATTACATTAGCATGTTTGTTATGGGCTATATTTGTAAATATTGCCCTGTTGAATATGGAAGTAAGTCATCTTATCATTACGCAGAATGCTTTAATAGAGTTATTTACTTGTTATAGAGGTACAATTGAGGTAAACCTAAATGGTGGATCTTTAATTCGCCCACCAAAACATTGCCCACATCCTAGATAAATAGATTCCAGAAGACGAAACCTTTTTCAAGTCAGTGGATGTATTATCAGCGAATTACAGCTGTCATTTATATACTTAATGTTAAGTAATTGAAGATCATTTAGTTTATAAAAATTGAGATTAAAAAAAAAGAAAGCTCAAATTTTTAACATGGAACTGTTCTGGCATTTGAAACAATAACCATTGGTTGATAGATCAAGTGGGAGCAATGTGTCACATTGTAATTTATATACATTTAACGAATGAAAATTGGGATGGGATATGCTGCCTATATTTCAATAATAACCTATACAGTGTCACTATAGTTTCTTTCTTAATATAATAGATTTAGTATAGCTGAATTTTTGCTATCAATCGAACCCAAGACACAATCCTTTCAAGATTTACATACCCTAATACAAAATTAATCAATTGTAGTCAATATCGACAACAACAAAATACAAACCTATACATATAATTAAAATCACGGATAGTTTAAAATATTTTTCTCTCTTAGGTATACTATGATAATACGTTATATGATTATGAGACTAGTCACGTTATGCCAGGTATAAGATTCACAACTCAGAGTAGAAAACCAGATAAATACTAGTTAATAATCTATTCAACACAGTTACAAGCAGTCAAACTTATTGAGTCCTGAGTAGAAATCAATAGCAGGAAATCACATATTTAATAGTCAGTAAGCTAAGTGCCTGTTTGTCCATGCTCACCAACCAATCATACTTTCACTACCACATCAATAATAAATATCTTGATTCATCTCTAAAGTTTTAGTGTTAAACACGAATATATTATTAGCATATTTCACAAATTGTATAGTCGACAGTCAACTGAAGAGTTGTAGCCTGTTCAAACTTTCTAATGGAATTCATTGGATAGGCGCCTTTTAATCTTTTGAAATTTAGTATCTTCGAATGTTTTTGGTAAAGTGAATTAATTCTCAATTCTTCTCGTCCAGTCAATCTTCTTTTGAAGTATTCAACATTCATGCTTAAAGTTCACGAAGATACCGTACTTCTTCGTAATTCTACATACTAATATTTTTTCAGGTTGATCTGTTTAAAAGATTTATTTGTTTTAATACACAATGAAACAGTCCTATTTCTTGGATAAGCTTTTAGGCACTATTTTTAGTAGTCACACTGTCAGTATCACAGTATGATCAAACTGCTCAGTTTAGCGTGGTTTCATAATAACATGCGAAAGAACCCTCTACCTATTAAAAGGAAAGTAGTCTGCCCAACCTTTCGGTGTGCTTTATCTTATAGCTGTGAAACATTATTTTCCAATGTAGAGGAGATAAATAGGTTAGTAGTATTTGATTATAGATGTCTTCGAAACTGTTAACACATGAAAGAACAATCAAATGAGTGTTGCTGAGGATAAGGACGTAGGGTATTAGGTAGAAAGACGAAAACTATTTGTGAGTCCTCGTTAACTGACTAACTTTTTGAAATATATGATTATTGTATGGTTTGAATCGACTATTGTTTGACGACTGTTTTCATTATTCACTATATATTGTTAATCTAATAAGTAATTCACAGTCATACTATTTTATTTGCATCTTTTATGTTTTGCTTTGTTTTATTACGATAACTTCATCATTTTAAAACATGATTTTTTATTTGATCAAAGTTTATATGCCCGGCTATCTCAGCATTACATTCACCAGTTCGGCAATTATCTCAACATTTTATTGTACCAATAACTTTACTGCTTTTTCAGCAATTGCTAGGATTATTCCTACTGCTTATGATCAAATATTCCTGTAAGCTTGTATCTACTTATATAAAGTCTTTTGATCAGTTGGCTGAAACAAATAATCTCACATAGCGGTGGATTATTTCAAAATTGTAAAGCTCAAACTAAGAGAATAAGATATTAACATAAATTATTTGACAGATAATAAATAAAATTGAGTATTTAGTGTTTAGAAACAATCTTGAGGAGTGCTTGAATACATGTTTCGTCTTAATTAACATTCATTACAAAGGTGTGTTTCCATTCTTGAGAAAACTGATATTTTCTGTCAGATTCAGAGTCGAAGTATACAGGAAAGTTGAGCAACATTGCAAGTTGATATATAGATATCAGTCAGCAGTAAAGGCTATTGCATATTGTTGAACACGAACTGGTTATAATGACATTTTCCTACCCCGAGAACTTCCACTAAGTAAACCTATGATATTATATAGTTCAGACAATCAAATATATCATCATTTTGTATCGTTTCTTAACGTAATCACTAAATTTTTGTGACCTTTATCGTACTTTAGCTCACACTTGATATCAGAAAAGACATTGACCAGACAATGAACTTAATTGTACTCTAAGACATCCTTTAGCATTCTTAGCTTTGTCTGTATTAAAATGTACATTGTGTTTTGGTTTTTCATTACTTTCATCATCATATCAGAAGAATATTGTCTTTTAATGATTAGTTTCTGTTCATTATATTCATTCATTTCCGTCATTATTAGATTTGATTATCTTTTTATTTATGTAAATTATATGGTTAACTGCTTATGTAATAATTTCAATAGTTGCGATGATTAGTCAGTTGAAGCTAGACCACTATGGAAAACCTGGAAACACTGGACGACCATTTTGTCTTATTGTGAGACTCCTCAGCAGCGCGCATCCATGACCCCGCCTCGCGGGATTCGAACCTAGGACCTATCAGTCTCACGCATGAGCGCTTAATCACTAGACCACTATAATAGTCGAGAAATAATCCTAAACTTTTAGTATATAGTATAGTATTTATTATATTTTGATAGTTTTACTAATTTCAAGCATATTTTGATAGTAATATTATATGCATGAAATTTTATGTAAATAATACTTACATCTTAAAACCTTTAGTATTGTATTGTAACACAAACAGTAAATATTGTACACTGAAAAGAAGTGAAAATAATCAAAATATCATCACAAATCAATAGTAAGCAAATTAAAATGAAAGAACAAATAGTTATTCACGTTACTTAACTATTCATTAAATTTTTTCTTTAGTCATCTATCTAAAAGAGTTATGATAATTCCTAATACAAAATATTATGGTTTGTTTAACTAATTTAGTGTCCTACGAAAAAAAATAATAGCATTACATAATATTGGAGAGTAAGTCAAATTATATTATGAGTTTTGTTAAAATTTACTTTACACTAATTCAAACCCTAGAATATCAGTAACAGAAAATTAAATTCACAGTGATTCAATTTTCAAATCGGATCACGTATGTTTATTGTTTTAGATGCCAAGAATAAGACTGGACCTCTTTTTCTTAATTATCCACAATTTTCAATGTTTAATTTAAAAAATATCATTCTTTGATAAGAACCTACTTTTAAATATGCAAGAATTTTTCAATTTATTTAGGTCAATCGTAATTTATGAACGTATCTAAAGCATTAGTTTGTTATATGTATTCACAATACTGGAGAAATATTTATGGTATGTCTCAATACTTTTAATAATTAATTAAGATGTAGAAGAGGTTTAGAAAGAAGACTAGGTGCGTATTAGTTTCGACATAGACATAAATTAGTAGAAATTATTGTTTCTTAAACTGACTTACTCCTACTACCCGTTGTGGAGGTGCACGAGCCCCCCACCAGCATTGTCCATCGAACTCCGTATTGGGCAATCCTCTCCGATTTGTTTCACGTTGCTACTCATTCTTTTGATGTCTGCCTCCGATTCTCGGTATAGCGTGTTCTTCTGGCCTTTCTTTTTTCCATTTCCCTTCAGGATTCCAAGTTGGTGATTACCTTAATGTGTGTCCTATTCACCTCTAACGTCTTTTCCTAATTTCCTATTCAGCTGGAAGCTGGTTTGTTCTCTCCCACAGTTGGCTGTTGCTGGTGATATCTGGCCAACGGATATTGCGTATCTTGCGTAGACAATTGTTTAGAAATACTTGAACCTTTTAGATGATGATTGTGGTAGTTCTCCACGTCTCAGCTCCGTACAGTAGAATTCTCTCGACGTTCGTATTGAAGATTCTGACTTTGATATTGGTTGACAGTTGTTTTGAGTTGTATATATTGTTCAACTGTAGGAATGCTATCCTCGCTTTGCCAATCCTCGCCTTAATGTCTGCATCCGATCCTCCTTGTTTATTGATGCTGCTGCCTAGATGTGTGAGACTTTCCACCTCTTATAGAATTTCTCCATCAAGTGTGATTGTGTTAGTCCTCTCTGTGTTGTATTTCAGGATCATGCTTTTTCCTCTGTGTATGCTGAGGCCTGATGCTGCAGAGGCTGCTGCTAAGCTGACTGTCTTCATCTGCATTTGTTCGTGTGTATGGTATAGAAGCAACAGGTCATCTGTAAAGTTTGAATCGTCTAGTCGAATCCAAGCTGTACATTATATTCCGTACTTTCCCTGAGATGTGGAGGTCGTCATAATCCAATTAACCACCAGAAGGAAGAGAGTAGGCAACCTTGTCTGACTCCGGTCCGCACTTGAAATGCATCTGTCAACTGTCATCCATGCACGACTTCGCAGTGTAGACCGTCTTTAAATTCTGGATGATGTTGACGATCTCAGGTACGCCATAATGTCGAAAACGTTCCCATAATGTTTTCCTATCCACACTGTCGAATGCTGTCCCATAGTCAAGGAAGCTGATGTATAGTGACGAGTTCCATTCAGTTGATTGTTCAATGATGATCCGTGGTGTCTCGATTTGATTTGTGCTTGAGCGGTCCTTGTGGAATCCGGCCTGTTGATCTCGAAGTTGGGCGTCGACTGAATCTTTCATCTGGTTCAGCAACACTTCGTTGAATACTTTTCTTGGTACCGATAGTTATGTGATTTCACTGTAATTGTCGCAGTTGCTGAGATCTCCTTTCTCTGGTAACCTAATGAGGTGTCCTTCTCTCCAATCTCTCGGCACTTGTTCTTTTTTCCCGAATCTCCCTGAATGGAACATCTTTGCAGTTACTTCCATATATGGCTTCAGTGCTTCAGGTGGTACGTTGTCAGGTCCAGCTTTTTTCTCAATAGGAAGGTCTACGTGTACTGTTTTCCTTAAACTTATTCGTATGGATAGCTAAGATCTCGGGGGTTCAACGGTGATTTGATGTTTAAAGCATTTAGATTTTAATGCAATAAATCTGAGGTTTCAACCTCACTCCACCTACTTAGGTTTGGAAATCCTGTTGTTGCCACTAGCCCTAAAAAGTTATACAACTCATACTTGGTATGTGCGTCTTATCGTCTTCAGTGATAAAGTTGCTTCCATACAATAGGAGTGTTCTGTTATCACGATTGTGAATCTAAAAGAAATAAAATGATTGATACTTTCGACACAGTATTAGCATAGTATTCGAAACCTTTGTTTGCACAGGTTAGAACTTTTCACAAAATGGTATAGCTAATTACGGTTGAATAAAACATAGTTGACTAGTTTCTTAAAGATAACAAAAATGTCGGATTATAGGTCATTTTTCGTATTTTGCTGTCCTTTTTTTATCTTTTACCTTCTCACTTCCATATTATCGCTTAGATTTTTTGTTACTGTACTGCCTAATTGTGTCTAATGCCATAAATCGGCACATTTTGACACTGAATTAAGTTAGTTTAATTGCGTTAGCTTTATTTCTATAGCAAAAGATAAACATTCTAATACACTCGGTATGATGTTGAACTCATGGAAATTTTTCTACACTCATACATCCATGTGTCATTCGCTTCTCTCTTAGCTGTTGTTGACATTATCTTCATCTCACTTCTTTTCTCACAGGGTTTTATCGTAGCAGAAAAGTCGCCATGGTTTCATATAGGATTCGTAAGTCAGTTCGCTGAACCTGATGCAATATTTGATCCGAACGCCAATGGAATATTATCGTATATTCCTGGGGTTTTACATTCTTTAATGGTTTTCGTTATGAATCAAATAATTTTTCGTGCTATTGCTGAACATCTAACCGAATGGGAAAATCATTGTGTTAGTTATTTTCATTTTTATAGAATAAATATCATGAGGTCTACATATTAAATAATATGTTTTTTATATGTCTAAAATTTTAAGTCTCATATAACTCTGTGGAAACAAACAAATCTGCATGTAGATCCAGTTAGTTAATTTGATTTTAATTTTGTTATTCAGTGGTCAAGACTGAAGTACTCCAACATAATCAGTCACCATTTCAAATTTAATGGTGTCTACGAGCCCTCTGGACTGGAGATCATTACAGAGAATTAACTGTCAATTCGTTGAAAAGCGCAGATGAATATTAGTTATATATACAAGATGCCATATCAAGTTAAATAGGGTCTGTATAACGTTTCGGGACCCTTCAACCTACTCCGGTTAATTGCGAGCATAAAAGACGGTGAAGCTTGGAGGACGCAACATACTCCCTATTTGAAGGAGTTTGTTGATTTAGTAGCCTTTGAAAAGTATCACTAGTAACCAGAGCCGTATTGTCGGTTGAACGATATATAGGGTTAGTGGCATAGCTATAAGGAATTTTCAAAAATGTCTCAAAAATTGCGTGGAGAACTTTAAGGAACATTTTAGGGCTCCACCAACGTTAGATAGATTATTTGGTTCTTATGCACAGATGATTAATGATGAGCCTAAAGAAGCGGTTATCTAATAGAATTTCCTACAGAGTTTCGTTAACCAGGAAACCAAATTCCAGCTCTAATCAAAGACTAGAAATTTAGGACGTTACTGAACTGTTTGGAGAGATCTGATAAAGTCAGTGTTTTTTCATCCTTCTAGGAAGCGGTTGTCACTCTCATTTTTAAAATTGGCGATGAGCTCCTCGATGTATAATATTTGGTTTGCATAATAAGAATGCAAATTACTTCTGTAAGATTGGCGCCTATTCATTACTCACCCTTTGTAATGAGACGTTGGAACTAGTCCAGAGATTCGTATACCTTGTTAGATGTTGTTTTTGGTGGCCGTGTTCCAGATAAGGATGAGGTCTGGGGACGTGTATTAGTACACAGCGGTTGATAATTCTCTATGCGTTACAATCTTGATACGTAATCTTTAATGAATTATTTTTGACGCTAGTCCTTTAAATTGTACATTGTTTGACGACTCCGATCGACTGCAAAAAATGGGAAAGGTCAGTTTACAACATTTCAACTTGAAATAGAAATTTAGTGTTAGATCGACATCTGTTGATTAACTAGGTCCAATTTGATGCGATTTTTATGATCGTACAGCTGATTTGTTTACAAATTTTCTGAACATTGTTCAACAGAGTAACAAATGGGTATTTTCCAACAATTTATCTTTTGTTTCATACCTTAAGTAATGAGATAATTTTTCTAACCGAGTGAAATTGGTCTTGTTTCCCATCTTAGACTATATTATTTAATGAATACTATTTTTGCTTTCTTTAAAAAAATTTTTCTTCTTGATTATATAAGTTCCTATAGTCTAATTCTTCCCAATATTATAATTTCACATTAATCTTAGATTGTAAGTAAAATTTCTACCAATCTGATTTTATAATTAGAAATCATTGATTTTCGAAATAATATCAATCAAACAACATGTTACTAATAATTAAATAGTTGGCACAATAAAAAAGAATTAAATTTATTTATATTTATCACAAAAATTATAAATTAAATGTTCAATATGTAATAATTATTTTTAAATAAGTAATATTATATTAATCTGTTTACAGGTATTGATTTATCCACCAATCAAAATGCGACTTATACAAATCTTTGCACTATGACAAAACCAATGACGTTCAACCGGTATGAGCAGTCTAGCGTCCTTATTGGTCCTATGGTCCTACTAGCCCGTCCGCTTGAGTCCAAAACACAATACCAGCCTCTGAAATACGAATCATTTATTTCAGACATACTCGGTTTATATATCAATCAGACAGACCACAACGTACCATAAAATAAAAAATAACATTTGTACAATATTTGGTCAAATGTGGCTGTGAACGTGGGAGACAGTGGTCAATAAACTAGGCATAATTTAGGGCCAGTAAATCGTACAATAATAAATTATAGGTCAAAATAAAGCTTATAATAAGAGGAATATAAATATACATAATCTAATTATTGAATAGTTACACCATAAGAATATATAGAAAATATTAGTCAATTAATATGTCTCAGAAGTTACTTGTGATTTAATCTTCGCTCTGATATAACAGGTATCATTACCAAGGTTTGATTTGATAATTTCGAATAAATTGGTTCCGTTGTACTATTTAAATTTGGATTAATTTTAATTTGGTTATTTATTCTCTGAAGAAAGTAGCTTACACTAAGTCACGAAATGTCAGAAAATCTAGTTTTTCTACCCATTAAGATATTAAAATATATTAATTATTTATTAATCTGTTTACGTTTTTTTTCTCCCTTTGTTTTCAGACAAATAAGGATTATGAACGTGCATTGATTATAAAACGTTTCTTATTTGAATTGGTTGATGCATATGGTGGTTTAATTTATTTAGGCTTTATATTAGCTGATCGTTTGGCATTACGTTCACTTTTATTAACAATGTTTGCTACTGATTCAATTAGACGCTTAACACTTGAATGTATTATACCATACATAATTTATCGATTTCGTGCATGGAAAGAAAAACAATCAATTGGTTTAATTAAACGTAACCACAATAGTGAAAAACCTATGTATCAAATACGTGTTGAACGTGAATTATGCGCAGATATTTATGAATCATTTGATGATTATTTAGAAATGGTTTTACAACATGGTTATCTTGTATTATTTGCTTATGCATCACCATTATTTATTACAATTTTAGCTATATTATGTACATTTCTTGAAATACATTTTGATGTATTCAAATTATTTTGGGTAACACAATGTCCTAAATCAAATTTATTACTTAGAGAACAATCTATATGGTTATTGCTATTAGGTATACAAGCTTGGTTATCTGTATTAACTAATGCTGGTTTATTAATATCAGAAATTCATCGATTAGAAATTTTAACTGATGTGACTGCAAGCACTATATTTCTAATATTTGAACATTGCCTTATATTCATTGCTTTATGTATACATTTTTTAATATCCGATACACCGGTTACTGTACGAGATGCTAGATTAGCTCGAGATTTTGCTAGAGCACGTTTGTTGAATCCTAAAAAAGATAATTAATTATACGAAGATCATGCTGCACATAAATGCACGTATTACATAATACACAAAGTTTAGAAAGTCGTGATGTGATATATTAGTAATTGTTTTAGCCTTTTTCACCTACTTATATTTATTATTTTGTTTGTCCTGATTACGTTGTATCTTACTTAATATACTTTACAATTTTAGTATATGAATTTTGTAGACTTTTGTTTGTACTCATCAAACTTAGACAATACGTTTTTTTCAATGATTTGTTATTGAATGATGTTTTGAACGTTTATCCATAAAAGTCAATACAAAATGTTGTCTTTCCTATTATCATCCAATCCATCAAAAATCAGTCACATTTAATCCTAAGTTAGGATAATTTAGAGGACGGTTAATATCTCAGTAGCATTCGTCAACTGTTTCTTCTTAGTCTTAAATATCTCAAAATTGTGCACATCATACGATGTTGAGTTGAAAACTTGTAGGTCTCTCACAAAGCGTGTTACATTTAGATAATTAAACGAGTCCATCAGGGTACATCTCTAATTTCAACCAATCAACTCAAAACAAATCACTTGTTCATGTTTAAAGGACAAACCATTTGGGGAGCACCAGTGGTTGTAATTAATTTCCTTATGTATTCGAATCTCTCCAAATTTAAAAGTGACTAAGTAGTTTGCATATTTCTCAGTGACCGAAAGATCTTAATACTGTTTCCATATTTTATAATAGCTCACTGAAGTTACAAAGCTGTTAATTAATAAATACATTTTCAGAAGAATCAATCACAAACCGATTGAGTCAAGATATTATTACGGCTGTAAATCTGTCATATTCAAGAGGTCTTACCAAGATAGTATGACTTATTTATCAGTTAACAAATTGTCAGCCAATGAGGAAAATGTAGACTACATGTTAACAGATTCTTCTTCACTTATATTTGTCGTGAGATTAATGTGACACTAGTAAGTGGAACTTATATTAGTTCCTGTTTTTCATATATCATATTATGGTTTACAAAACTGATTCCTAATATGCCTATTAATATCTAATTAACATGAACAATTCAAATTGAATTTGTTTAGATACCCTCCATTAATAAAGTCAAAGTTGATTTGCAACAGTAGCTTAATTTATCAGAATATAGCTAGAAAAGTTGGTTGTAAGTAATGTAGAATTATTTATTTCGTTCAGCGACATACTTATCCTTTCAAGTAAAAATTGACACATGAACTACTAAAATCAATAAATTATTTGAAAAGAAACTCGGGAAAAGTACGAAACATGACCTATTTAAAGAAGCTTGGATGAAATTATTGTTAAAGTACAAATTATATAAATACAAACATTGGCTAGGCCATTGTTATATCCGGTGAAGATTAAATTACAGGTAAAGTCCAAGGACTATTCATGGACTAATATTCTATAAATATTCTTATTGTATAACTACTCAACAATTACACTATGGATATTTATATTCCTTTTATGATAAGCTTTATTTTGACCTATAACTTATTATTGTACGATTTACGGTTCTTAAGTTATGTTCAGTTTATTAACTACTGCCTCCCACATTCACAGCCACTTTTTGGGCTTATTTGTGTACAAATATTATTTCCTATTTTATGGTACGTTGCGGTCTGTGTGATTGATATATAAACCAAGTATGCCTGAAATAAACGATCTGCTCTGATTCGGAAGCTGGTATCTTGTTCTGGACTCAAGTGGAGGGGCTCGTATGACATAGGACCAATAAGGACGCTAAACTGCCCACACCGGTTGAACGTCATTGGTTAGCCTAGTGTGGAGATTCGTATAAGTCGTATTCGGATTGGTAGATAAGTCGTGTGATCGAAAAGTCAGACATTCAATGTCATAACAGTCATAGAGTTATGAAAAGACATATCTTTAAAAAAATAAACGCGAGAGCATTTAAAGTTCAAAGGTATGATAGGTCTATTTTGGTAGAATAAAATAATAAGAAATATTTCAATTGGGATAACAAAATTAAGTTAGATAATTTAATTAGTATATTTAATAACATTCACCCATCTATTAATTTTGCACTTGAGGAAGAACAGACCAACACCATATTATTTCTAGACTTCCAACCAATAACAACGGTAGGTGGAATACTAAAAAGAGGGATTCATAGAAAGTCCTCAGTTTGAAAATATTCTGTCATCGTTATAAAGCTGTACCATTCGGATATAAAAGAAACTTAGTAAAGATTTTGACTCATGGCTCCAGAATGATTTGTTTTGATGGCACCATTGCAGATGAATTGAGTAATGTTTGTAACCTGCTTAATAGGAATGAGTGTGCAACAGATTCATCAACAAACATAAATGAAATGTAAAGAAGACCGAATGTTCCTACCGTTTTGAAGAAATTACTGTCCGTAAAATAACAATTCCTAAGTGATTCTACCAAGGAAATTGTAACTAGAAGGTTAAGAAATGCGGGTCGGAAACAGTCACTAGCCAAACTGAACGCGATGATGAAGGTCATCAATGAAGGCAGACTGAATTCTCCACATTCATGTGTACTTGACAGTCCAACTCCTCCTATGGAGCCAGTTATATCAAGTGTATAATTCGGCAAATTCGTCATCGCATATCAGAACACTATTCAGTTATGGTTAAGCAAGAGACAGGTAAGAGTGACTAACAGTTCGATTCTCGATCACTTGATGGACACAGGGCATCAAGTTGGCTTGAATAAAGCATCTAAGTTTGTCCACAATATTCCATCGAATTTACCATATGGTTTGAGAGTTTGCATATTGCTGGGATTATCGGGATCCATGTTCGCATACATAATCATTGCATTCAAAAGAGGTTTGTGCAACCACTTTCCATTAATCGGCCACCAGCCAAAGCAGTTTATCAGTCAGTGATAACAGTGTAATAGATTACCTAAATAAACATGATAATTAAAAAGTACAGACTTATAGCGTAATGACAGATGTTTTAGTTGTGATAAGGATAACAAAAGCCTGAACCCATGTTTCATAATGGGAAATAGGTCAGATGTTTTGCGTACAATGTATGGTATTTTATAACTAGATTCGAGTCTGTTTTCGATGGTTACTACGTCTTTATTCTTAATACTTTGTGCTAGATTGCCTGCGGCGGTTGTCACACAGCCTGTCTGACAGAAGATGGCATCCTGTTTTGTTTTGGATGCAATAAATTTGGTCAGTTGGGATTTGACTCATCTATGGAAGCTGTTGATTCGCCAGTGAAACACCCACTCTTAACAAATCAACAATTGGATTCCAATATGGTTATATCATCTGTTTACTGTGGTTTATGGTCCACAACTCTCTATTTAAACTCAAAAACCTGATGTTTGCACGAAATACTTGTGATATTTTTTATGGATATATTTTACGTGAACAAATTTTCTATTGAAAACAACTTATTAAAAAAGTTTCACTGTAAATCATAAGTACCACTCGTAGATGAAATTCAATTATTTTGTAAAGAACATATTTTTAAAAACATTGGTGATTATTCCAACTTATGTAGTGATTTTTATATGAGTCAAAAGATACGAGTTGAAAGTATAATTATCCTATGAAGTAAACATAGTTGAAATTTGTTTAGAAATGGTAGTTAATATTAAGTTGATATCAAAATAAACTGCGAAGACGAATTTGAGTAGTTCTCCGTTGCGTGAAATACGTGGCTGCTCAGTAAGTGCAATAGCAACACATGTATGAAATCTCATCACTGTGATAATAATATATGAGGTCATCCAATAATTCTTCGAAATAGAACGATGTGAGTGAGAATACCATCAATCGTTACTCGTTTACAAATCATTGATGGATAAAAGTATTCTGCCTCCACAGTACGATTTAAAGGGTATATATGTTTAAACAAACTTTGGTTTTATGTGCTGACTAAAGGAAGAGAAAAAGTATAGGCAAGTACTACATTAGTTAACTACGGAATGTTGAATATGTGTGCAAAATTCTAAAACCTTTATGTTTAGTTAACCTACCAACATTTTGCAAGTTTTTACGTTGTAAATCTACTTTTCAAACCAAGTATAACATATGGAATTTTGTTTCGTGTTAACCTGATTGTTGCGAATCGCGGTATTTGATTGTAGAACATATTCAGTCACACAAATTTAAGGAGCTTCGTGCACTAATAGTGAAGCCTCCAGTCTATTTCACAACCATTTAATCTTCTTACAATGAATTTGGCTTAATCATTCTGACGATTATCAAATATATCTTGCATTGTTCACTACAAGCGGCGAAGCTACCTAACCTTTCGATATCGTGTTTATTTCTAATTCCACAATTAGGTGATTACAATAAGCTTATGAAACAATTAGTGAATTGAAAATAACAAGTATTATTAAGTTAGGCAGTTTCCTGGAGTGATATAAGTGAAGGATTAAACAAGTTGAAAACACAAAGATATGTACAAGTTACTTAGCGAAATAAGTGGATAAGTGTCAGTAAGATTAGTTTTCACCGATGTGACTGTACAAGCATAGGGTAACAATGAATCCTGATAAATGGTAGTTCATGTAGTTTTCTGATTAACTGGGAAGTACTCAGTGTGTTACACCGATTCCATGTGTTAGTATAAGCCATCCAGAATTACTGCTTACACTACCACTCGTTATTGTAACCCGATCGACTGTTAAATTGACCCTCGGTTACTATGCACTGAAGTTATTTTACAGGTATATTCTGATGTTTCATGGTAGGAATATTTCTATCTAGCAGTAAAAGCTTCTTATCACATGACTATTTGCAATATCAAAACAGTCGTATAAGGAATCTGGAGATGCATCAAGTTCATATAATTTTCGGTGCTACATAGTTCCCTCACCTACCTGTACAATGTTATAATATCTCCAAATCAGTTCAGACCTTTTGCGATATTCCCTTCAGTTCGATATGGGAACGGATTGAATTACCGTTAGAAAACGTACTTAGAGGCTATCGAAATAAGTCGTTCAAAGCAGCAAGCTGAATGTAGTTAGGATATTTGGGAATAAATACAAAGGGAAGTTTTAACCAGTCAGTATAGAAAGAGGTATGAAGCCTTGAAGAACAGTCTGTTCGCCACAACGTTTTGTAGACAACATCTGTTCTAATGACAATATAAACCTATTCCTACTCACTATTCTGTTTTATATCTATTTTAAAAGTGAACACTCACTTGATAATCACCTTCCGAAATTGTCTGTTTCAACTATTTTTGTTTTCATTCCCCATATTTCTGTGGAGCACGGACCTCAAGTTATTTCCTTCTTGATATTATCATTATTATCTTACAG